ATGGTACTAGGTAGAAATATGGATATCATAACTAAGAATGCTGCATGTCCTCCTTCTGTGAGACTAGAATGCCAAAATTTAAGTTGCCTTAGTCTTTATTTTCAAAAAATGACTTCTGAATTCTGTCTTTTAAAAAATGAGGCAGCAGGGAATTCTATTTGAAAAATAATCTAGATAAAAAAGGATAATCTGATTCAATAAACAAGATGTGATTTAATTTGCTAGACCTCTCTAGAGAAGAGAGCAACTTCTTTTTAAACAAACAAACAAACAAACTAACATGTTGATTTATTCACAACTACTATGGGTAGGTATTTTTGCCAATCAAATGTAACAGGTATACATTGTAGAACAACTTCAGGAGGAGTTGAGAGGATGCAACTCAATAAAAACAAACGGGTCACCTCACGTAGGCAAGAATAATGAACTACAAAAACATAAGGTGAGGAAGGACAAGCTGAGTAACAGCACAGCAGAAAAAGATTTGGACGTTAACATAGATCATAGGCTGAACACGAGTAAACAATGTTATGCTGCTGTAAAAAAGGCAAACTCTTACTGCAATTTATAGCTAGTGTTATCACCTACAAAACATTTAGTAATTCTTCAGCTCTCCTTAGAGCTGTCTGTGCCCCAGCTGGGATGCTGTGTCCAATTTTGGACACTTCAAGGAAGGTATGGTCCTATTGGGGAAAAAAACAGAGGAAGACAACAAAAATCATCAGGCTTCATAAAAGTATACTTATAAGGAAAGGCTGAAGGAATTGCATTTAGACTGATGTTCATCTGAACAGCTGAAATTCAGAGAAAAGGAAACTAAGAGGTAAAAGAATAGCAGTTTTCAAATACATAAAAGGTAATTTCAGAGGAACAAGCTGTTTTCTGCCTCTGTTGTGGACAGGACAGAGACATTTTGCTCTTATAGCTGTTTGCTCATCTCTTTTGAAGTGCTGTCTGGAAATCGACATGTTACCCAAATAACACTAAATACAGTCTTTGCACCACTACAGTTTTCCTGGTGCATTAAAAATACACTTAAGAAATACAATTTGGGAAAGCATGGCAGGATGGGAGAAAAGGGAAAAAATCTTCCTATGATTGTAGATCATTTCCCTCCTCTGAAGCAGCTGCTGTCTGAAATCGTTTTCAAAGAAACTTCTCCTCACCTCTGTGCTGAATGAGCCCACAGAAAAACCTGGCACGAGCTTGATTTGAAATGAAATAACTCCCGTTTTGTAGTGGACTGTGTGGTGAAGATGTAGTTATAAAATAAATAATGATTCAGCTCTAACTTTCAATTCTGTCCATATTAAGTTGCTCAACCAGGTGTTGAAGCCAATAGAATTTGCTTTTCCTCTGTTGGAAAGCTATTTTGAGTGCAGCGTGACTGAAGAACAGCCACTTATTAGCTGCTCGACAGTGCTCTTGGTTTTTCTGCTAGAATCCCCCGCAATTGCTTGAACAACACTTTTGCCAATATTCATCTAGGTCAATCAGTAGCTAGAACGCTGGGGTATGAAATTATGCTGTGGTTGAGATGGTGGTAAGTCGCCTGCTGTTTAACATCTCTGTTTCATGGCCTGGTGTCAGGAGGGATGCAATGCTTATTTTGAGCTTCAGTTTGCATTTAGTTTTTTCTCTCTTCAGTCTGTTCAATTGAATTCACTTGTAGTTTTAGTGCAGTATGCATCCAGGCTGAAATTCCTGGGTAATGTTGTTGTGTGCTGTTACAGGGTTGCCATGTTCCATGTTGGAGCTATCTTTCCTTCATGATGAGGGATGTAATCCTTCTGCATCCCAACTGAACTGTGAGGATTAATTAGAATTTGCAGTGCACTGCGAGTACCTTGCATGCTATTGAAGTGGAAATTATTGTTTGTTACAGCCAGTCTGAATGCCATCTGGGATTTCCAGGTTATTGCACATCACCAAGCTTGAGCTGGTACCATGAACAAAAGATTAGCATTGCACTCTGTTATGTATTTGGTGCTGTATCCAGCACCTATGTAAGGCTGCATACGTCCTAAGAAGCTGTGCTCAGCACACTAGGACTCCAAGGGCTTTTCTGTAGCTTGAAGCCTGCAACAACCCTTTCCTTTTTCTGCACTTCTACTCTGGTATGAGCTGGATCCACAGGGCAGCAGATCCCTTTGGCCTTCTCCACTGTCACCCTTGCCTGCTATTAACTTCAAGTCAGCTTTGAGAGACTGTGTAAGAAATGACAGTGGAATTGGGCTCCACATTTTGGAAAAGATGCTTTATCCCATGCAACAGAATTGTACCTTTGTGTGGCATCTAAAGTCCTAAGGGACATGGTGAAAAGGGCTGATCTTGCCTGAGACAGGCCCAAGTCAGTGATGTGAGTGATGGATGGCCATCCCCACAATATTCTTGGGCTTACAACAAATCTGTAGGAAGAAAAATTAAACAGAAAAATGTAGGAAATGAAGCAGAGTGTCAAAGCAAAAGATAGAATGGAGAGGGGATGCAAAAGAGGTAGAAGCATTTAGGAAAGAACAGATGGGGCAAAGGAAAAAAGGGGCAGAATTGGGTAGGGGAGGTTCTGGGAGGGATGGATAAAGAACTGGGAAGAACAGAGAAGAAACTGGGAATCAGAATGAAAGAATAATACATGAGAAATTGACGTCTAAACTTTTATTACAAAATAAATGCAATTTATTGTCATTATAGCTTCTTCAATTATCTTTCAACCCTTTTTTAATGATGCCCATATGTTGCAAATAACAGGGTTTTATGACTTTTGTTCTCTCACCTTTCCCATGGCTTACATTCCCACTTTAATTACTACACTGACATCAGATGCTTCGTCTAATGTTTTTGCACCAGTGCTCCCTATTTGTGGTGATATTGCACTTGGGGAAACAAAAACACCTGTCTCTCCTGGTCGAAGGCTACTTGCTGTTCTAGTGGATGTCCACCAGATGGCAAAGCCGGTATTTTTGTAGAGTTTCCAGGCCACCTTCAGATACTCATTTACTCTAGGGAGAGTGGGGGCTTGTTTAACAGATCCTTTACTGCATAGACTAAAGATGGTGATTAAAAACAAGGGATTCGATTCTATGGGGATTTCTTGGGAAAAATAATAAACGAGGAAAATAAAAGATGCAGTTAGAAAATTCTGGTGCTGTCAGGAAGGCGTAAATGTTCACTCTTAGTCACTGCGTATCGCTGTATGAGGAAAACAAACCTCAAGAATCTCTGAGTTACTACTACTACTTTTTTTCTGTTGCTATAAATTTTATCGAGACAATAATGTTTCCTCATGTCTAATCTCTTTGAAACTGTTGTGATTTAGACCAGGTCTTAGAATGAAATCCATGGTAAGTAAAACTGTTGTAACTGTCCATGACTTACGTAAAACTAATTTCCTAGCTTGTGTGGTTATAGACATAAGAATAACAATGAAGCTTGTCAGCACTCTCTTCCCTCCAACCTGCCCTCATGATGTCAAGACTGTAATTAAGGAGATAGGCACTGATCTTCTTCCCTTATGTCTATGGGGTTTACCTACTATTTTAACCATGTTGGCTCAAGAAACTTCCATCATTTAATCACTGAAACTCAGTTGCAGATATATACAATAAGAAGAAATGGGGAGTTTCCTGAAAAAGAAATCTGGATAGCATTTGTTATAAACTAACATCAACTGTATCAATCCAAAAACGTTGTACAGACAGGGCACATATAAGATGCTGAATGTTCTTAATCACTTAGGTTAATTTTACATTGCATAGCCCCTTCATATAGTGCACTATCTCAGCTGAAAGGCTGGGAGGCAATGACAAAAACCTATTTTACTTTCCTCCAAGAAACCTAACCCCTTCTCACAGCAAAAAACCCCTATGTCAAGAGACTGTTCAGAGACTTAAACTAAAAAAAAAAAAAAAAAAAAAAAGTGTGTGTGTGAATTTACCCTTCTTTTTTAAAGAAAAAATCCATGTCTTTCCATGTTTGGTTTCTTTTCTAGTGGTAGGAACAAAGGAAGGATGATTTGCTTCTTTAATGGTTTTGTAGGTTGACCTGAATTCTGCTTCCAGCAGAGGAACTGTATATAAGGCTAGGAAGGAACGACCGTTACAGCCTGGCTTTTCAGCTGTCATCAACTATATTTGTTCAATGGCTCCCGATCAATTATATCCTGTAGTACCCATTTCTCTGAGTATCAAGACACAAGCAAAAAGACGAGGCCATTCCCACTCCAAGTAGATGTCAGGGTAGCATGGAAAAAAAAAGCTGGTGCTATATTTGGAGCGTTCCTAATTGCACTGTTCTATTTCCAGCCACTGAAATTTGTGCTAGAATTTTAATTAAGGGCTAAATTCATGCAGCAGATCCTAACAACAGGAAACAGTTATGTTCTTTAAATAGGCTTTGAAATTATCAGATTTTATCTCCCAAAGCAGCACTCACATGAATACTAAAGCCGCTTTTGTTCTTCTGGACGGGGCTGCAATTGCCCAGCAAGCTGAAGGAGGTCACGGGCTCCACTTTGGAAAACCACTAACACTGGGCCAGCTATCCAGAGCACAGGCTGGGCAAAGCAAACAGTCGTTCCTTAAACACACCGCACCCACTAGCAGAAAACCCAGCAGGGAGCGCTCCACGGCCTCCCACGCAAAACCTGTGCCCACTTCTCTGCGTGGGAGGGGGCAGTTTGCCCCAGGCCTGCCCCAAGATGTCGGCCCCGAGACCTCGCACAAACCGCGGCGCCCCCTAGCGACTGCAGCGTCCGCCGCAGCGCGCCGCTCCATTGCGGCGGCCGCAGAGCAGAAGGGCGCATGCGTAAAGTGACACCGCGCTTCCCGCTCCTTCCCATCCCAGTAGAACGATAGGCGCATGCGGAACAGGGAGGGGGTGCGCTGTGTACCCCGCTCCCTTCCCTTGGCGCATGCGCATGGCCCGGCTTTGGAAACCGCCAGAAGGGGCGGGGGAGGAATGCAGTGCTGCAGGCGCGCGCGGCGCTGGGGGCGGGGCTGGGGTCAGCTGATTCGGGAGCCTCTCGCTGAGTGACGGTTAGCGGCGGCTGTTGCAGCAGTAACGGTAGCGGCGGTGGTCTGGCGGGGCGGAAGGCAGGGTCTCGGCCCGGGAAAGGCGCTATGGCGACCACCGTCACTACTCAGCGGGGCCCGGTGAGTGCTGCCGGGTGAGGATCAGCCGCAGGGGCCTCTGAAGGTTGTCTCCTGTTAATTCTTGCGACTGTACCGCGTTGGGCTGGTGAGGCCTGGCTTGGACCCTTCTGGGTTTCGGCTTCTGTCCTTCTTCTCCTCCGCCCGGCTCCTGCCAGTGGGCCTCGGTGGGAGGGTGACTCACCTTTCTTGTCTCCCTGCCTCCCTCCCTTCCTTCCCCCGCTCGCGGCCCGTGGTAGAGAGGAGAGAAAAGACCTCTCCTCCAGTCTGTCGTGATACGGGGGTGGGGACGGGGAAAGAAAAGTCTGCCTCTTCTGGCTCTCCGCTTTGCGAAGAGGCTTTGGGAAAGGGGAGGGGAAAGTCCCTCCTATCTGTGTGTAGGGCTTGAAGAAGCTATTCTGCCCGTTCTTTGCCTAAGGGCCTTCCGCAGGAGGGAACGGCTTAAACTAAACCAGAGCTAAACCTCTTGGACCTTAAAGCAGAGTAGAGCTTTGTGTTTTTATGGTTGGGCTGGGCAGATTCAGGTAGCCGTCTCTGAAATTGCCACCTGAAAGCTGGAACGTGAAACGTGCTGAAAGTCGCATTCAATGGTAGTATGTAGGCGTGTGTGTTGGGAGGGAGGAACTGAGTAGTCTTAAAACCAATTTAACGATCTCCTGGGAGTTAGTGTTGATAGTTTATTGAGAGTGTGTTATTGTCTAGTTTTACCCTGGAATAATCTTACCTCACATCGGGATGTCCTACTTACGGTGTATAGCTGTGGTATAACATTAGCTCTCGATACGTGTGCTGTTCGTATCTGTTCCTCCTGTCTGGAAGGATCTGGTAGTAACTGACAATACAATTATTGCTCTGCGGGTGAAGTAAGATTTTCTTAAACAATCAATTTAAAATGCTGTATTTTATTTCCTAGAAACAACTACTTTTTTTGTAGTGTCTGTGCAGCCTTGTTGAAAAGCTGGAGTGACTTATTAAACTGCTAATCTTGAAAAACTGCATCACTGTCTGTTGTTACCTCATGACAGTAACATTATATGGCCATCAATTTCGTTCCTTTAAAATGCTTCATTTGTCTGGTCTTCCAGAATAGATTCTTTTTACAGTGGATTGTGATGATGGTTCTGTTGTTGGAATAAAAGTTTGAAGTGGAGAATTAAGATAAAAAGAGTGAATTAAGGTTTTTGTTCTCTGTTGATGGTATCATGAAAAGACAAGGACTGCTGTTCTGGTTCTGAAATCTGTGGTGAATTAGGTAGTCGCTATCCCCAAAGACTTGGTGTTTGAGAATTGATGATGTGATTGCACCCAAATAGAATTCTGACAATATGTAACAGGTTTTACTCAGAAAATACTATAAACATCTTTTTTTTCTTAGGTGTTCCTAACATTGTTGTGTATGTTTCTCTTCCTTGTCTTAAGCATTTTAGAGATTTGAATGTTTTCAAATTAAAAATAACTTATGCAATATTAAGCTGCCATTTACACAGCTGAGGATGCTGATAGGTACATTCCAGTCTTTCTCTCTAGTGCACAAGATAGAATACTACTTGTTTCTATATATACAACTGCATTACAAATGGATAGCCACTAAATGGTGCTAAAGGATCTGGAAACATTTTCTCTTTAGTGCTGCAGAGAAGAGTTCTGTCTCTTTCTGTTTGAGTAGGTGGGAAAATATTCAAGACTGTTTCATGCAGGTAAGAAAACAAAGAATGCTGCTATGGTCTTGCCAGTCTTGTTCTTATACTCATGCTTTCTAGTTTGTGGCAATGCTTATTTGGTGAGTAATTAAAACTTCTGCTTGCTGTTATTTCAGATGAAACGGGACTGGAATTCATCCTGTTTGCTACTGGTAAATATTCTGCTAGAATATAGATTTCTTTGGCTGTTTTCAGGATGTTATGGAATTAGCAACGTTTTGTGATACTTTGAAAACAAAACAGCTTTTGAAATCTAAACTATAGCTGAATATATAAGGGCTGCTAAATGATACGTTTTCCAAGTGAGAGGTATTAATGAAAAGTTTGACCAGGCTTCAGCTTAAGTCTGACAGACCAAAACCTTGTATTTGTGATTCCTTAGCTAGCCATGCACACACAAAATTAATCTCCGTGGTTATTCACCATGCTGGCAAATATGTCAGGTCCTCCAAAATTAGATCAAGTACTAAGCTAGGACTACTTAGATTTCTGCTTCTAATTTCCCTAATAAACCCTATTCTGATGATTGGAAAACTTATAATAGGCAGGCTATATTTATGATTACTTCTCTTTTCTTGTCCTAATACTGTCATTTAACTATGTAAGTCTTGTTGTCTCTGATTTTACTTCAAATTTTGTTCTGAGACTTTTCAAAAGTCTTTGGTATTGTTTTCTGAACAAAAGTGACAAAGAAGCAATTCCTGTTTGCATTGTCCAGTATTGATATATGTTATACTATCACATGACTGATTTTGAATACAAAGTCCCATCACCAAAATAATTGTGTTGATAATTCTGGATATAATTGAGTATTTTATTAGATATTTTGTTTCTTACTGGAATGTGGATATAGGTCGTGTTAAAAACCTGCTCTGTGAAGGTGGAAATTTCCTAAAGACACATGTTGTTGCAATCAATTTGGATTTCATTACATACTTAGCAGGAATTCAAATTACTGTTGTAGTGAAGAAGGGAATCTTTTTTTGATTGTAATCAATGGTTCATATTGATTTCTTATTCGGTAAAACCAAACTTTTTTTCTTTATTAACAGTTGTGCTTTTGCACTGTGGAATGTATTTTGCAGATAGTTTAAATGTTAATGTCTTAGATTTGTTTATTTAGTATTATTTTATTTATTTAATTTTGTTTATTGTTATTTAGATGTGCTGGGAAAATCCAGAGGCAATAGCTCGTGGTAAAATACTTCGTCAAGACTAGATATATGTGGTGTAATTGGGGGAAATGGAAAATGCTATTAAGGTGATGACTGTAGAATCATAAAGCCTTTATAGGTAGAGATATGGGAGCAATGGAAATGACAAAATAGATGTGAGATTTCTGTCAACAGGAAAAAAATAATAAGAACAGGAGAAGAAATGTCTGGTACCTTGCAGTCTATAACACTTTTTTTTTTTCATTTTGGTGACATTTAAAAAAACAAACCAACAAATGTAAAAAACCCCTCCAACCCCAAAACACCAAACAGCAAAAATCTGTAAATGTAATAAACTTAATTGCTGTTATATTCTTTTCTTTGTCCATCTCTAAATTGAAATTCTGAAGTAGAGCCTTTGACTACAATTCTACAGGAGTTCAGCTGGGGAGGTGTCATGCTATAATTTGCGTTCTATAGGCTCATCGAATAGTTCAGGGTAGAAGGGATGTCAGGAGGCCATGTAGTCTAACCTCTTGCTAAAAATGTCAATTTTTAATTCAGACCAGGTTGCTCAGGGCTTTGTCCATCAGGATCTTCAAAATCTCTAAGGTGAGAGTTTTTGCAATCTTCCTGGACAATTTCTTCCTATCTGTGGTTGTCCCTGTGGTGAATTTTTTTTCCTCTCCTTATTTCATGTCAAACCCTGCCCTGTTTCAGTTTGACAATTCATGTCTCCTTTCTTCTTGCCTTGCATCTCAGAAGAGAACCTGGCTCTGTTTTCTTAGTGACCTCCTCATAGATACTGGAAAGCTGCTAGGAGGTGCATCCTAAGTTTCTTCTGCTCTAAACAAATACTCAGCCTGTCCTCACAAGTCTTGTGCTACAGCCCTTTTCATGGGCCATCTTGAGGGATTTTTGCTGGGCTCACTCAAGTTTATCATTTTTCCTGTACTGCTGGGCCCCAAATGGGTTGCAGTATTCCAGATGTGGTATAATGAGTGCTGAGTAAAAGGAAACAATTGCTTTCCTCAGCCTACTGGCTGGGCTTTTGTTGATCCAGTGTAGTATGCTGTTAGGTTTCATTGTTGGGAGAGTGCTCTGCTCATTCATATTTAGCTTGCTCTCCACCAGGACCTGCACGTTTTTCTCTGTAGAGCTGCAGCCCTGCCAGTTGTTCTCTAGTCTGTACTGTTGCCAGGGATTTTTCTATCCAAAGTACAGGACTTTGTACTTGTTGAATTTCATGAGATTCCTGCCAGTCAGTTCTTCTGTGTCTCTGGTTGTTGGTCCTGTCCTCAAGTTAGTCTCAGTACAGACCTCTGAGAAACTTTGCTCTCAGCAGACCTCCAATGTCATTAACCACTGAGCTTCAACTTCTGAGCTCAGTGACCCAGACAGTTTTTCATCCATTCAATGGTTCACCCATTTGGATTCTAATGACCCAGCTTTGATACCTACTGCTCTCTCCTTACTGACAGATTCTAGTAATTTTATTGTAGAAGGCAGTTTTTTTGTTTTAAAAAGCTTATCAGGCTTTTTTTTTTTAACCCTTGGTAAAGGCTGGCTACTTCTGGTCCCTAGTTTTACGTTTATGTGTCTAGAATGGCTTCCAGAAGGACTTGATATATGAATTTCTTTGCAACTGAAATGAAACTGAACTGCCTGTTGTTCCTTGGGTCATTCCTCTTGAAAACTTGGTATGACATTTGTCTTTCTCCAGTTCAGGGCACTTCCTCTAATCTCCATGACCTTTCAAAGATGATGCGAGACTAACCTTGCAAAAGTGTCAGCTAGCTCCTTTAGGACCTATGGATGCATCCATGTCTGGTCTGAATTTTTTGTTTACTGTGCAAAACATAGCATAATAGTTAAAAATTCTCTGTCATTCACTCACTTATACTTTCTTAAAAACAGTAAAACCATTTAAAGGAGAATGGCTACAACTTTGAGTAGCTAGGTGATTAAAGCTCTTTCATATTGAACTTCTCTGTAACCTAGTATGGGAGTTTCTTGCTAATTGCTAGTGTGGAAGCCTTAGTTATGGTTCCCTGAATGTATCATGTCTTGGTGTATGATTCCATAAGTGAGGGCATTTGTGGTTGTCCTTGGCTCTGCTTTCCCTTTCTTTCCTGTGTGTAGGCACCAATACTCACACGATTGGTTGGCAAGGTAAGAGTCTTGATGACTTCCACTCCTCTTCTGTTACCTCCAATCCTTGTTTCATTTTCTTCTGACTAGCCCCCTGCACTAGTGTACTTTACAATTTCCTTGGCACCATTGAATGTTGCACAAGAAATGGGGGTGAGAATGAGACAGCCCAGTCCTAAATAGCTCAAATAGCTGTAGAATATCACACTGCCTTCAATTTGAAGAAGTTGAGATGCAGTTTTTTTATACCTGCAGCGTTTCACTTTGAAGATCCTCAAAACTAGCTCTTAGGTGATTTTAGCAGATAGGAAGGGCAATATTATTCTGTTCCTAGATATAAAATATTTTTATATGCAGTGCTGCCAGTGAAGTTTATTAGGAAGTAATTAACAAGGCAGGCTTATTTTTATGAATGCCTGCTCAACATTTGTCTTCTGAATTGTAGTTCTATCATAGCACTGTCATATTGTTGTCTTGCTTGAAAAGAGAGTTCTAGTAAAATTCAAATGTTAAATGGAATTTTTTGTTCTCCAGTTAATGGCAGAATGGGGTTGAATTTCACATTCTTCCTTAAATATTGTTATAGTAGAGAAGTACATTTATTGTTAAGTGCGTGTTGAGTAGGATCAGTGATACAAGCTTGTCACTTATGTTGTCCTTGCTTTAAAAACAAACTGCAGTTGAACTCTGGTTATGTAACTTTGTATTTTTGATTCAGGTTTGGAGGTGGCAATTACGGGCCTGCTTTTAAATGCTTTGAGGAGGACATAAATTAGCGTATTTTCTTTACAGATAAAAAGATTGCACACTACTCATTTGTCTCTATCAATGTGGAATCAACTGATAATTACCATAAGAACTTCCAGAGTAGTGTATCTTCCTCAATAAGCATCTCTCTTAGATATTTTACTCAATATATCACCAGGATTTGCATACGAGATCTCAGAGCAGAATATTTAAGATGGCAGCATATGCATCTCCTGTTCCCCACTCTTCCTTTTGGAGGGGTTTACCAGTCGGATCTTTTGATAATTTAGTTACACTAGCTGTTTTTGGTTTCTGTGTATGTCTGCTCTGCAATTCCAGGATAATAATGTAGCTTTGTTTGAGATTAACTGAATGACCTAAAGTCAGCTTTAGAAGCTTTAAGAAAACTTTGGTCTCCCTTACACATTTTGTTTGTCCCTTTTGGACTTCGGTACAGAGACTAGTTTGTATGTTTTATTTTGGAACTGTATTTGGATGACTTAAAATTTTAAAAGTGAAAGATATCATTAGGCTTCTCACTTGTTTTGAGTGAATTAAGCTTTCCAATGCCCATGTTAAGACAGCTGAGACAAAATATACTATCCTGTTTTCTGAGAAGTTGACAGAGGGAGCTTGCACATGTGAGAATGTAATTTCAGGGCCGCAGCCACCGCTTCTGACTGTGAGAAATCTTTGATGTCTATTCTTTGAGATGCTAACAATACCAGATTTGAAAATTCCTGAAGGTCAAGGGTTGGAGGGACCTGCTGTGTTGTAAATGCCATTGCCTTGCTAATTCTGGTGCCATTTCAAATCTTTCCGAAATTGATTATTTTTTATTTTAAAATTAACTCCTTTTTTTATAGCATGTATTCTAATGAGAAGGCTGTTACAAGACCCTGTCTAATTTCCAGCCTAACGTAAATATGTTTTCTTTTAATATTAGCACTACCTTTTAGCATAGTCTTCTCCCTCTTTGCCCCCATTTTTCTCCCTGCTTTTTAAAGCTTAAGCCTCTAAGAGGATCTTAAGTGTCAAACTTTAAGATGCTTGTAAGCAAAACTGATTTCCTCTTTTGCCTCCCCCCAAACAGCCTAGCAGCTGGCATTCAGTACTTCCTACTTAGTTTTTTGATAAACTTCCTTTCTGGCATGTAACACCTACTGTTGCCAGGATCCTGAGGCTCTCAGGCAGAAATTGCAGCTCTTGCCAAATCCTATTTTGTATGACTTTTGCTATCTCCAAGATGCAACCTTGGCATGTAAGTGCTGTCTGCTCTTCAAAAGCTATGTCCTAGAGGCCTGTTAACTTCTCAAAGTATGTTCTGTAGGCATGCATCTGTCATATATACAATTGAGTAATTTGGCCTGAGATAGTAACATAAGAAATTGAATTGTCTTTTGTGTTGATGTGGTGGACAGTTCTGTAATAAATATGTAAGCAACTCTACAGGCAACAGAAATAACTGCAGCTTAATTACGAATTTTCTATGCCACTTTATGTGCTGTTTAAAATTTATTATTATATTATGATTGTTACTTTTATGTGATGATCTCTCTAAATATGTTATTGATAATGTTCACTGAGCATTTGAAACCTAGAAAAAACCTGAGTTGTTGAATTTACAGTAATAGAAATGACAAGTAATAGGTAGAAACTTTCCCTTCTCTTACCATAAAGCTAACAGAAGGTACATGGTAACCGCTGATTCATATCAGCACCTGTGAAGGAGTTCCTCTAAGATTTTTCCACTTTGCATTTTTCATCATGGTTCTTTCTTGTGATAGACCAGATCTTGAATTTCTCCATTAATGTTTTGCATATTGTGGGATTTTGTCCCCAAATTGTCCCTAAAGGTAGTTGCAGGCCGGCCATGTTTAACATTGGAAAAACATTAGGGCATCTTTGTTATGGTGAAGAATTCTTGGTTGTGTTAAAGGATTTGGTTCATAGGAAACATCTTTATGGTCTATCTTGAAGGTGACTGCAAAAGTGACCCTTTCAAATGAAGGCAGGGTGGTGCTATGTCTTGTCACAGGAATGACTGGATGCAACATGAATGATGAATAAGTGAAAGAGCTGGCTGCCATCAGATGTCATGTGAATGGGATGTAAAACTTGGTAGCTCTGACTGTTGTGTGGACTATTTAAATGTTTAGTTGCAGAACAGCATTGGCTCTGTATGTCCTACTTTTTTCAGAGGCTTATGTTGGAAACGTGTTTTTGAAAGGGAGTATGAGAATATTCTCTCCATGAGTTGGCAGTTTCGTCATTTAATTAGTTCTTTGTTCATGCTGTCAAAACTAGATTCTCCTGAATGTTTTTGCTAAGCTGTTCTTTGATTTATTTATTCTCTCTTCCATTGTGAAAGTGGAAGACTTAAGTTTTTGAAGTTTTCTTTTCTTTTCTTCAAGGTATACGTTGGTGAACTTCCTCAAGATTTTCTTCGCATTACCCCAACCCAACAGCAACAGCAAATCCAGCTGGATGCCCAAGCAGCTCAGCAGCTACAGTATGGAGGACCAATGGGTACGGTGGGCAGACTCAGCATTACTGTAGTACAGGTATAAATTCTACCATCTTTGTACATTTAAGTAATTGTAATTAATGCAATTAATCTTTTTTGATCAGTGGCCACAAAAAGGTTTTGTGTTGGAATTTGAGTGACTAAATTACTTGTATACAGGGAGTGAGTAATTTTAAAAGTTTTTGTAGCTTCATGTTTCTGTACATCAGCATTTTTTCCCATTTCATAGCTGCATGGTGCAGCAATTTCCTGTAAGCCTTGTTATTATAGCACATAATCAAATAAACTCACTTTTTTTTACAGTGAACAGGTTTCTCTGAAAACTTCTGTTAAGAACGCTTCCTGTAGAAATGCTTAATATTGGAAGACATTGCCAAGTTTGAGAATATTGTAGGGAACTGCAGTTGCCTTACATATTTTTCCTTAAGTGACTGCTCTGTTCCATCCCTGTTTCCTCTAATGCATTTGCTGGTTTTTCCTAGTGCTTTTTGCAGGCATTCTAATCACAAGTCCAGTCCTGCTTCTTTGTTTTGTGCTTCCCCTTTTCCTTTGTTACCCTTTCTTTTAACTCTTGGCAGTACTGTATTACTGCATTCATTGTCTATAAGATTTCAGGTTTTAAAACTTGTCTGTCAACACAATTCTGTTTATCTACATTAGCATAGCAGATGTCCTTCATATTAACTTAAGACACCTATCTATTTACAAGTGCTGTTTTCAGGTCATTCTCTGGGAAAAATACCAGAGAGGTATTTAGCCTCAGATTTATTACCAAGCCTGGAATAGTACATGTTTGGCTACAGCTTCCATGGTGAGGTCCTTATTGGGGAGTAAACCTATATAGAAGGTCTCAGGAAAAGAGGCATTGATCCTTTACTGGTCAGTTTGTTCCTTCACAGCCAATATCTTTCCTCTGAAAACTGGGAGTAATACTTTTTCAAAGTTTATTACTTTTAAGGTCTAGACACTTGCACCCATTCCTTGCACTCAGTTGCAGCCCTCTTTCTAGTTCTGAGGAGTTTCCCAGTCTGTGTTCAGAGTGTGTAAGATTGGAAGCTTCTTCTGCAACTTTGAACAGAGAAAAATGTTACCACTTTCAGAGCATAGTGGAAGAACCTTTAGTGTAACTTTTTTCCAGAGCTAGGAATAGATGATTCAGGTTAACCCTCAGACCTATAAGAAAACAAAACATTTATCAAACAACATGTCATGTCTGTCTTAACTCTCTAGCAGTTTCTAGCAACTTGTATGCTCCTCCATAGGTTGTTCATCTTTGGCTATTTGCTTGGACAGCTTAAAGTGCTGTTTGTCACGAGATGTTGATTCAATCAGTACAGATGGTAGAGGTTCCTGGAGCAGATAAGGGGGCAGACAGTACAGTGTTCAAGAACGAGTTTTGCATCTCTCTTTGAGTGGCTACATACAGAAACATCTAGATTCCTGTTTGGATAGGTGAACTGATGGAGATGATACTGGTCTTTATCTGGTTCAATCCTCACTTATTTTTAGGTGCTTGTGCAGACAAGAAAAAAATACTTACCTTGCTTGAAGAATAAAACCTAATGGCTGTTTTTGATGCCATGCTTGTAACTAACCACTTGTTATAGAATCATGATGGCTGAGGTTAGAGGGGACCTCTGGCACTTATTTTGTCCAAGCCTTATCCAACCTCTACTCTCCCCAGGCCAGTCTCTTAATCTAGGTATAAAGAGGATGTTATATACAAGGAAAGGCTGAGAGAGCTGGGGAACAGCCTTGGGGGGAATCTTAGCAATGAGTAGTCCCTGCCATCAGGTATTTATGACGATGGCTAGGCTCTTTCCAGTGCTATTAGAGGAAAGACCAGAGGCGCGGAGAGCACAAATTGAAAAACAGCAAAATCTATTTAAATATATGAAAAACATTTTTACTGTGAGAGTTGTCAAACATCAGAACAGGTTGCCCAAAGGGATTGCGGATCTTCTATTCATGGAGACACTCGAAACTTGCCTGAGCATTTTACCCTGCTTTGAGTGGGGAACTTGGACTAGCCAATCTCTAGGGGTCCCATCCAACATCATTGGAAATCCTTAATTGTGTTAGTGGCCATTTGCTGGACTCGTTCAGAAGACATGGCTGTGTCTTCTACTGGGCAGCTCAGAACTAAAGAGGACAGTACTCAAGATACGGTCTCCCCGGTGCTGAGTAGAAGGGATTCTCTTATTATGCTTTTCCTAATGCAGCCCAGGATGCTGTCTGTTGTCGATGCTGTCTGTTGTCTTTGCTGCAAAGGTGCATTGCTGGCTTATTTCCAACTTGGTGTCCACCAAGACCCTCAGGTCCTTCCCTGCAAAGCTGCTCTCCAACCAGTTGGCCCGCAGCCTATAGTGGTGCATGTGGGCAGAATGTTGCATTTTCATTTGTTGAAATTTGAGATTCCTGTCTGCACACTTCTTCAGCCTGTCAAGGTCCTTCTGAATGGCAATACAACCCTATGGTGACCCAGGGGATAGTGTTCTATACCTGTCTGAGAGTTTATGCAAGAATGCTGTGGGAATCTTGGCTGTGTATTGAGGCATGTGGGATTCTGCATAGGAGACTTACCATGACATAGTTGAACTGTGGAACATGAAAAGCTGGTTGAAGTCATTTGTATTTAATTATGTGTTGACAAAGTATATAGAGCAGCATGCCTTAATTCTGTTACTAATACACTGGTGGAAGATCAGAAAATGTTTTTGGGAAGGTGATTTACTGCTTTTTTTTCCTTGCAGATATATAGGAATGGTGGTGAGTTTGTCTAAGCACAGTTGGTTGTGCCCTTTTAAATTACTAGACAGACAATTTATATGCTCTGACTTCCTTTGATGAAGTTTTATGGTAAACTGCTTAATTTCAGGGCTTCAGAGTCTAGAGAGCACATAATTTAGGTGCCAATTTTCCTACTTTATTTGTTAAGCCCACATTTACAAGGAACAGTTTGAGACATTTCTCACCAGCTCTAATGTATGAGTTACTGAACCAGCATATGCCCTGAAGGAGAAAAGGGCTTTCCAGGCCAGAGCTGAAGCCATTGTGACTAAATCTTATACAAATCTCAACTGTTCCATTTCTTTAAATGTCCTGTATGTGGGAGTCATCCTAGACACCATATTTTGTCACTTGTCTTTCTAGGAAAACAACTATAGACTGCTTAGTCCTGGTCAGACAAACAGCATGTCCAAAAAGTCTGATTTCTACTTTGGCATAGCTATGCAACAGTCCTCAGTGTTGTGTTCAGGACTTTCATCAACTTGTTTTGTTCTATTCCTCTAACATTACACGAAAATTAAGTTGGATTCTTTTGATTCTGTACAGCATCTGTTTTTATAGTAACATAGAACTCAAGTTGCCCACTGAATTAAGTAATATCAAATGCACACACTGAATTAAGTGATTTTTTTTAAATTGTTTTTTTTCTCTCAATTGAACTGCTTTTGCAGTTTGTGCTTTTGTATTGTGTGATATTCTTGAAGCTACTGGATTTCAGTATTTCATCCTTTAAAAGTACATCAGTGAAAGAGGGCAGGCTACCTATCACATTAAGTTTGTGATTGTTGATTGGAGAACAGATACCTAGGCAAAAATTGAACTTACTACTATTTCCTTGTAATCATGTACCTTTTTGGTTTGGTATGAAGTAACTTATTTTAGCTATGGTGAAGATCTGTATTTTCTACAACAGACAGGTTAAAAGGAGAATCCCTGTTCAAGTTCTCCCAGACATTTAACAGCGTCATTGGCTATTCTGTGTTTTAATATGAATGCTGTTTTTCTTTTTTTTTCCTTCCTGTCTACCTCATAATTGAATCTAGTTCTTTGTTGAATATATCTGATTCTCTCTTTGTGAACTAATAGTAATTAACTTATCAAGTTCATGTAAATATATTAATGTAATGTATTATACACTTATAGGCTTTCTTTTCTTTCCAGGCAAAATTAGCAAAGAACTATGGAATGACCCGCATGGATCCATATTGTCGAATACGGCTGGGATATGCTGTGTATGAAACTCCAACAGCACATAACGGAGCCAAGAACCCCCGCTGGAACAAAGTTATTCAGTGCACTGTTCCACCGGGTGTGGACTCTTTTTATCTAGAGATATTTGATGAGGTCAGAACTACTATATATTCTCAGCCCTGCTCCCCACCCCCACCCCCCATTTGGACTGAGGTTTGGGTAGAACCTTGCAAAAGAGGGTTGAGTTACCAAGGGCTGTTCCTTCGCTGTGCTTTCTGGGAGATGACAAAAATTTTTCAGAATCCCAGGAGCAGCAATGCATACTAAGGCTTCACTCTTCCCCAAGAATGGGAGAGCTGTTACTTTTCTTTTGGTAGCTGATAAGGGGCATTAGCAAGATTCTCTGCGAAGGGATGGAAGCAAAAATATCTGAGTGGTGTTTAAGCTCCTCTTCACTATCAAAATGCCCTGCAGTCTTATATTCTGTACTGTCCCTGTTAAAAATAGCTTGTTTATACAATGCTGTTTACTCAGAAATTCTTAAGTGTTAATCTAACCCAGGAGGAACTTGGAAGGTTTCCTAAGCTCGGAAATGCTGAGAACAAAACGGTCAAATACAGACTGTGTGTAGTCAGCAGGGTTTATTAGCAGAAATGTAGCTTAATCTATACTTACCTGAATTTTGTTCCAGGTGGGCTTGTAGGCACCTGTCTGTGCTTTACTTAGGACACAGTGGTAATAAATACCTAACCTTTGAACAATTTAATTTTCTTAGAGATTGAATGGGTCTGATTAACAGCTCTGGTAGGTGATCTGCTCACAAAGCTTTTCTAGAAGAATACTATCTTGAATTCTAGTATGTTGTTCCTGTTGGCAGCAGGGAATATGTGCCTGCATCTCAGTTGTTCCAGATCAGGATATTGACTTTGACTTAGCACAAACATACCTTCTGGAGCAATTTAAACTAAGAGTCTACAACTGAGGCTAAAGTCTGTGGTTTGCCTTTTTTTGAGGCCTCTCTTACTGTGTGCAGTAAACTTCAATGCTGCACCAGCTGTGTGGTCATTACACAAGTGGGGCTTTGGGATGCTATTTCATGGCCTTAGTTGATTGGTTGAAGTGTCTGTTTCATTGCTGCAACAGGGCTGGCAGATCAGTACTTGCATCTGCTCTTGAATTACTGAAGTTCACAGCCTGTTATAGCAGTGTAAACAGAAGCTGTTTACATTCATTTAATGGCCTCTGATATGATATGATGTTGCTAGATTCACACAAACTGTGTTGATATTAGTATGTTGTATTTCTAGAAGCATTCTGCTTCAAATTTTCAATTTCTTCTTATTAATTATCTGCAGTCAATCTATAATCCCACTTCAGGCATCATTCATCCTTGTTAGAAAGGAGATGGCTGAAATATTTACTGACACTTTAGTAATTTCAAAAGGAATAGCTTAAAAATAAAATTGGCAAAATGAAATAGCATAAAACTGAAGGAAGTGTGAGTCAAGAATAATTTTAAGGTGGTTTTGTGTGTGTGTGTGTGTGTGGTTTTTTTTTTTTTTTCCTCCAGGACAATTAACTTGTTAATATTTTTTTAATCCTATTCCAGCGGGCCTTTTCAATGGATGACCGCATTGCTTGGACACACATTACAATTCCTGAGTCTCTGAAACAAGGAAATGTGGAGGATGAATGGTATAGCCTGAGTGGGAGGCAGGGTGATGACAAGGAAGGAATGATTAATCTGGTTATGTCGTACACGGTAAGCCAAGTTTGGGGTTAGAGGGAGAAAGGAGAGAAGCTTCTTGGGTAGTGGGAAGGAGATATTTTAGTTTGAGGTAGAAGTAGTTCCATTGTACCTTACTGGGTGTTTATGTGTGTTAGCATTTAAAATAATTGTGGTTTAACTTTAGGAATAGCAGTCAAAAATATTAGTTAAGGCAGTAGATACTTTTTGGTGAGGTGGTAAATGCGTATTTATTTATCTGGGTTTGCAATTACAGAACTTAAGTTTATTCCTGTGCTAAAAAGGATAAATTATATATAAAAAAGAAATCCTCAGTCAAGTGGTCCATTGTCATTTCTAATTTAATAATAATAATTATTTAAAAGAAGCTTCATGGAATCTAACAAGTTATTTTTTTCCCCCAAAATCTTTAGAAAGTCATGTCAATTTAAAAGCAAAATTAATAGAAACTCTTCTCTGTTCTAGGTCTTTCTGGTTAGTTTGAATGATCTTCCTGATTACTTTGTTTTTTACTTCCATTCTTGTTCAATTGGTGCTCCTAGTCATGAACTGACTTACATTGGTCCATGTAACAGCTCATAGACTATTCTGTCATCTGTCACTTTTGTCTTAAGTAGCTGTTCCATAGCATGTGTAGCGTGTGCAGTCCTGAATGCTTCCTACTACGCTTGTACATGATCAAAAGTTCCAAGCTGCTTTTGAGTGCACAACTGGGAACAGATGTTCCTTGCTGTTTGAAATTCACATTCTGCCCCACAATTGAACAGTTGTTACGTTATTCCTAGAAGAAATGAGTTCGTAATTAACCTTTAAAACTGTCTGCCCATGAATGTACTGTACATAGAATCTGACCTTTTAATATTTTCTAGGACCAAACTGAACAGGAATTGAGGTAGTAAAAGGGAATGGAGTTAAATTGATATTTTGTTTAAAGTACTGGTTTACCTCTAAGGTAATTAATTTGAAGTAAAATTTGCTTCTAGAAGCTGTATACTTTGTTTAATAAAATTCAGGTTTGCTTTAAGTTTTCATTTATGATGAATATGTTGTATATTCATTTCACAAGAATAAGGTGTAAAAGCTGATTAAACCCATATTTTAAAATAATTTGCTTCAGTAACAAAATTTCTGTGGCAAAATTGATCAAACTGTTGCAAAAGGCTAGTTTAACATGATACGTTTATATTGATTTACAGGTAAATTAATTGTCACTTAAGGATGGTAGTTCACTTAATTTGCCACACATTTTGCTTGATATAGATTAGCACCACTTAGTCATATTGTAATATTGAACATGGGACATGGATTTGCAATGTGACAGATTTTTTGCAAATACTTTTAATTGTTTTAATTGCTGGTTTATTTTTTTCTATTTCTTGAGTAGTTCTAATCTGTTTGTTGTGCTTTTTGCATCAAGTCTTTGCCAGCTGCCATGATGATGCAGCCCCAGCCAGTGGTCCTGATGCCCACTGTATATCAGCAAGGAGTTGGATATGTGCCTATAGCAGGTATGTTTTCCTCTACTTGAAGACTCTTAAAACTTCCAGATGAAGGGTTTTGCAGAAATAACTACCAAATTTCTTGTGATTTTTGGAATGTAAAGGAAAGAATAAATGATTTTGTGTGTGACCACTTTTCCCATGATACATTTTTGGGAGAGGAAGAGCAAGCAAATTAAATTTAGATCTGCTTTCGGTCTTGTATCCTGTTCAAGGGAGCTGCAAGAGTTTGATGAAATGGATTAAAATGAGTGTCAAGTTGGAACAAGTAGCTTGAATGCTTCTCTTTTTGAGTGTTTATTTTAGACTTATGTCAGGTCACTGAATAAATATCTATCAGGCTGCACTCTTAATATAACGTGTGCTTATTTAAATGGTGGCAATCCATGTGTGAAACTGTTCAGACTTCAGAAAGTGCACCAAATGACTTGTGCTGTCAGAATTGCAGCTTAAATAGCCTGTAAAGGGATTGACTCTTCTGTGGTCCTTGAAGATGCTTTGTTGGAAACTTGTGACACAGTATGTGAAGTGGGTAGCACAGTGAATAAAAATGTTAGAGAGTGCTGGGATAGTTATACAAATATATCAAGAAGAGCTAAAGCATGTATTGTCAGTTCTTTTAGTTTGTGCAAACTAAGTTTTGGACTTATATAGAAAGATTTGTTAACTTCAGTTTTGTAGTTTTTCTGTCGAGGATGAAAAGTTTAAAGTATGAAAATAAGTTTGAATTTGCCCTACTTGGATAAGTGATAAGTAAAGCTCAGTTGGGTTTTTTGTGTGTTTCACTTAGAGCTCTTAAAAGCTCCTGTTTGTTGTATGACCATTTATTCAGCAGTATGTGTACCTTTTAGGGAAAATAAGATATAAATTTACATATTTTGAATTTATTTGCATACAGTGTGTGAATGAGTGATAGAGTGTGTGGGACATAATTGCAGTGCTAAGGGCTAACACAGATAAATGTATTTTTTTTTAAGACTCAATTCCTGATTGAATTTAAAATTTCATTCTCTGTAAAAACAAACCTCCTCTGCAGAAGACTCTGCATGTAGCTTAAAGACTTATACCTCCTGTTTAATTTTCATAGAATTAAGTTAGAGCAAAACGTGGAGAAGTTTGGTTACATACTTTGTTCCCTGATGAAAACATGCAGTTTTCTTCATTTCAAGTGCTTTTATTTCTATAGCTTAATTCTCAGGATTTAAGTCTTGCTTGCTTTGCCAACGAACTAGTTTCAACTTGTGTGTGCGTCCTGAAGTGTGATTCTATTGTGGTACACGAGACTTCTGTGTAGCTTTTTTGTATTTGAATTAGATGTCATGTCTCTTTTTGCTTGTAGGTTCACTGCATCCCTATATACTGAAGCAGTTAGTGAACATCAAACATAGTTTTCTTGTGTATGGTTAAAGGAAAAACAATAGCTGGGGTGCTTACATATAGCTATGTAATGGAAGGTTGCTACAGAATTTCTTAAACAGATCAAAATGAATATATTCATAGTGCAAAATTACTGTGCCCATCAGAGTACAAACAGTAGAAATGAAGAGACTAGTTTCAGGTATAATTGAAACTAGACATAGAACCGAACAGATAAAACTCATAGTAGACCTTCAAAGTTGAAAAACAAGCACAATGGTGTATCTTCATGTTCAGATATTGGTGTTCTGTAGATTTTGTATTTATCTTGCAAGTACTTTCAGTAATACTTATTAAATCTACTTGGACAAGCGAAGAAATAACTAATATTTAGCAAGTGATAGTAATACCTGACAGCATATAAGAATTTGGCTTTATGTAACAATATTATTGATCTGTATGTTGGAGCATTGCCCTTCTGCAAAGATCCATCATGTTTAATTACTGCTATGATAATCTTCTTGATTAAAAATTTTTCCTGATTGTCTATTTAAAGCATTGTGAAGTCCCATCCCTTGATTTGAACTTTTGTTTTGTTCTGGGAAAGCTTGAATGCACTTCCTTGACTTTATAAATGCCAAACGTACTGCAAGCCATCTTAGATGTATTTAGATTTTTATATTTTTGATTTTTTTTTTTGATATTACTGTGCTTTGTGTTTGGTGTTCTAGAATTTCTGTGTGCACCATCAAAATTTTTCAAAGCACTGTGAGTTTTAAAGCTTTTGCTTATTCACCCACTCATAGTAATTAGATGGATGGCTTAGTTTAGACTTTGAAATTGACTTGACTTCAGAATATTTCTGTTGTTTCATACATTTAATTGTATGGCTTAAAGTAATTTCAAATTATAAAGGAACCAATAGTGCATCTTGGAAGGCATAGAGTGTTCAGAATGTTTTCTATATATTAAACTAGATGCTCCTCCTGGATTCTGTAAACTCTTTCAGAAAGGTGCGTGCAAACTGCTGGTTATCCCTGCCCAGCTGAATTGATTGTATCTTCTGGGGAAACTTGTTGGTATAATTTCTTTGGAATGCTGTAGAGGGTTTTGTCTTTTTGAGACTCTTTCAAGAATGGCAATGGCAGGACATCAGTATGCTCCACAGGAATATGTTTACCTTCTTCGCATCTTCTTAGTTAAGGTTTTTTCACCTATCCATTTAAATGAGTGTAGTCAATAAGCAAGTTCTGTTTGTTTCCTTCTGAAGAGTGGAAGAGCAGCACTGAATAGTGTTTTAATCTGAAATGGAGGAGACTCTACTGTTGGGCAAGACTGTTATATTCTAAGTCTTATCTATGATGGAAATACAATGGGTGGACTAAAATGCTTATCCAGGCAATTTAACAGTTGTTAATAGTCCAAAATAATTGTGCTTTAGAGATGGTGTTAAGTCAAATACAGCTGTTACAAAGGCCAAGCTGTTTTTTCCGTAACAGAAAATCTCTGTTCAAAACTTAGCATATGTAAGTAACCTTCTAATTAAGGTCGAAGCAATTAATTCCTCGCACATGTGTGTGTAGCATGCAAACTGGGCTAAATGGTTGTAGCAAGCAGTTGGTTGTCACTGTGCTAAGCAGATGAAGCTTGAAATGCCAACACAAGTAATGCTTTTTCCCCCACATTTGATGGTACATGTTACAGAACTCTGATGAAATCAGAAATGGCCATAGAATATTCTTGCACCATGTTAATTAATTTCAAAAGTTTTAAATAAAACCTGCTGACAGTAGTGCTAGTTGCTACAAACTGTAGTTGCCATAGATGATATCTATGGATTGGGTTTAGGAAAATTTGAACTGGTCAGTACTGTTGCTCTTCTAAAAGTTGAGTTTACCATTTCTTCCCATTTCTTTTTCTAAAAGAATTAAAGAATTAAAAACTTTAAATTAAACTGTAGAATTGTGGTATACTGGTTGCTTACAGTCTAAGCTGATCATCTGGATAGTGTATCAAAGACAGTAAGCTAAAAAAAAGTAGTATTCATGGGATAAATACAAAATCTATTTGTTCTTAACTTATAAACACCTATGTGAAAAGTAGATTAAAAACATATGTGTTTCAGGGCTCTGTCAGAGTCCAGAATATAATTTTTCATTGAGACAAAGTTGTGTGTAGATGTACATTTTACTCCTTCAGGTGTCTGTATTGTTTCACTGGTTGGCTTGTGATGTTACTGGTATTTTTTCAGATGTGGATGTATTTTGTCCTTTGTAGGCTATAAAATGCAAACCTTGCTGCAAACACCTGTTGGCTTACTTATTTTGAAAACATTTCCTCTAATTGTTACTTCTGTAAAAACACATTTATGAAACTTGTTCAGACTGCTGAAGCAAATTAGTTGTGAGACTGAAGCAGCATTTAGTTTTTGATATTAGGTAGTTTAGTTTTTACCCAATTGCATCAGTTTATCCAACTTTCACCTTCAGAAGCAAAACGGTTCACTTCCTTTTAAAAATAGATTAATATTTCTTTCCCATGTCTTATTCCTTTTCCCTTGCCCCTTCATTTTCACCTATCTTTAGGGCTTGAGTACTTTGCTCTGGGTAAGTTTCCAAGCTCTTTTCTCACTCCCATTGTCATTGACTCAAGTTTTTGCATGAACTTATCTGAACAGCTTTATTTGTTACAGCAGACTGTTTCACAAGGTATTGCCACTTGGGTGTCACAATAGAACAATTTAATGTGTCTCCTGGAAATGGTTAAAGCCCCTCTAACCTGTTGGAGAGTCTTTAAAGGCATCCACTCAGCTTCAAGCTATAATGATTAAAGTAATTGGTGGTAGTGGTGTTGATGGCTAAAGTGTGATCTTAATATTTTTCTGAAACTGTTGTATGTCAGTGAGCATAGGTGATAGTATAGTTTCCTAGAAGAGAAACTTCAATCTTGCAGTTATTTTGCTACTGCAAGGTATGGGGAGAAGCAGATAACGTCATGACTTTTTGGAAACTTGAAATTAAAGAACTCAGTTCCGCAATGACATTGAGAAGACAGCCTGCCAGTTGCCTTCTGTTAATCTTCAAATAAGACTTTTTTCAAAAAGATAAAACTTTTTTCATCAGTGTGTCTTTCATGCACATCTGTTTTGGATCCACATCAAATTGAGCATCAGACTTGAACTCTAAAGGCAAATTACTATAAATCAATTTCCATCAATTTAGACTCATTTTACTATGACACCTTTGATTTTGAATTGTGCAAAGATATTGTGACATCCCTAACTTTGATAAAAGCGTTGGTCTTCAATCAAGTATGTTCAGAAAATTCTATGATTCTGTGAGATGAAATGTCATTTCTTTATGTTCTGAATTTCAGAAAGATGCTGTAAATAAAACTGATGTGGTTGTAGCGTATTTGGCTTATTCAGAGCAGTGGCATTGCAGAATTTTTTTGTGGGTCCATACACTTCACTTTGCTAGTAGCTTGCAAAGAAGCAACACTTTAAAAAAAAAAAAAATTGAGATGATGGCTTGCATATTTTAGCACTGAATTTTTTTCAGAAGCAAATACCATTAAGACCTGTTGGCATATTTTTAAAAAGATGATACTGATTTCTTTCTTCAAATGAAAGAATTTGTGCTGAGAAGGTTCCAGAGTTTGCTCTGAAAGGGTCTGTGCATGGGATGGAATAATGATGAGTCAAGAAATTAAACATAGGGCACTTGACTGAACAAGAAAATAAAGTGTGTAATGCCTTGTGTGCAGTTAGAAGAAGTTTACCCTGTGAAGGCCGCTTTGCTGCTTCCCTTGCTGCTCATAGCAATTGACTTGCTATTGTACATACTCTTTTCATCTATTGGAATGTCACTGCTTATGCCAGCATGTTTGTCGTGGCCATTTCACTGGATTGGAAAACAGTGCTTCATTCTTCTGATTTATAACACTTACCTAATATCTGAGAGCAACACAGGAGTGTGCAATTCCATTTATAGTGGATTCTTATGTGGTTTAGTTTCAGTTTTCACCTGTTAGTGAAATGAGGTGCTTAATATGTAAAGCAGCTTTTTACTGAACATTGATAACTTTGAAGTTTATTGTAACTTTTTCTAATAACTGCATGTATATGTTTATATTTGCTAAATTTTAGTGCGTAGTTCTTTACATTTATGCTTAAGTCTTGCTTACTATTTTGTAAATCAGAAATGGATGCTTTTAGTCTGAGTGCAGAACAAAGCATGAAACCAAGGTACTCTTTAAATTGGTATTTGCATAGCTTGAATGCTGAGTTTCATGAAAAGTAAATGTGTCATGATAATACTTATTAAAAATCACTGTGATACTAAATTCTATTTGTATACAGTGTAGTTGTAGACAGCATTAACTGTAGAACTGTAAGAGCCCAGAAAATGGATTTTGAAAATCATTAGTGAAAAACAATACTAATAAGAAATTTCTTGTCTCTAAAATTGAATATTTATATTGATAATACTTCTTGAATACTGTGTGCAGATGTCTGGCTTCATAATTATCTTGTTTTGATGAAAACAGCAAAAAACCCTGTGTGCTGGTCTTGTTTTTTGGACACAAACTTTATTGGTGAGCTGAAGAATGCTGTGGTAGTCGGAGTGTCATGTTTCATTTGAATTAATATTTTAAACTGACCTCTTATATGGACAGTTCCTACACAACTTAGGCTGATAGTTGGGTAATCTTAGGGTGCTGATGACTTACTGAAGAATATTAGAAAGCTTATGTTAGAAGTAAGACGTTAACTTCTGTTGCTCTGTTCTTTTAGGCACCTTGCAACTTTATTTTTTTGAGGCCATAAATCTTTGTTCACCTCTTGTAAATGCCTAGATTGTTTGTAGGAAGCACGAGGAATGAGTTGAGGCTTGTTGAAGCTATAGAAGAGGCAATCTGAAATGCTGCTGGATATGATTATTGGGTAAAGTGTGTTTGCAGTGTTGGTGAGGACTGCATAGTGGTTTGCCACCAGGGTGCACACATGGTCTGATTTGCCAGATGTTCAAACAGCTAGTGCCAGACACAATTCTGGGGGCCATGGTCTAAATGGCATAAGAAGCTCTAGAGCTAAAGCTTAGGTTGTTGCAGCATCCTTCGTAGTGGTGCGATGCAAATGGCTTGGCAGCGACATGGTTCCAGTGTGTAGGTAATAAATTTATGGTGAGAGGGACATTTCTTTAGGTTCCCAGCATGAACCTTTTCAAATAGATGCAGCCTGTACATTAAACTTAAAGCATCTATGTTCCTTTTTTGCTTCTAGTTAAACTTCAGATGATTACAAGGGGAAATTTAAAATAAAAATTGGAGAACGTTGATAAATTTGGAGGTGCTTACTATTCAGTAATGCATCCCTTCTGATAGGACAGAAGTCCAAGTAAATGAAAGAAATAGCAAAGAATACATTAGGTAAAATCTCGGTTGCAATGCACACAGTCAGACTATATTTAGTTACAGTACCTTGTCAGCCAGAGATGATGTAAGTTAAGATCAGTTTAGCTGATCCAACCTTGAATGTGAATTTTAATATAGCATTTTTAAGGCTGATAGAAAAATGATAATCACAGAGATGCTAAAATATTTGTGCAAGTTAGAGTGAGCATAGACATTTCTGATTCAATAGTTACAGGTTAGAGAAAATCTTGAAGAGACAAGGTAAGTACTGAAATTGCTCTTTACTCTGTTTTTTTTCTTTTGGAGGTGTTAATTCTGACTAGAAGTAGTATAATATAGTTGCAATATGTTTGATCACTTCAGTACTTTAGTCATTATGCTAAGAGAGTCATGAGGTTGCAGAGGCACACTTTAAAATTATGTTGATTGTAGATCTGCTTTATGTTATTATGCTTTTGAGTAGTTAGAATTCAATAAAAGAGAAGCAGCTTTTGATATATTCCTGAGTAATATATGAAACCTAGTTCAAAAAGTACCTTATTTTGAAGATGTTTAATAGTGGTGATGCAAATAGTTCATCCTTTGTTTAACTTAAGGAGAAGTAATTAAGGTCAGAGAAAGAAAACTACACAGGTGAAATAAAAACTGTAAAAAAAAAAAAGGCGCTTTTGGAGAATCCTAAAAAGTCTCTGCAATAAAGCAGTAAAGTAGGTTTCTACCAACAATTGATAGGTCTGCCTAAATGAGGGAATGTGAGAGTTAAATTATATATTAAATCTAAACTGCTAGTAAGGCTGGCTAACAGCTTTTGAAGAACAAATGTATAAGGACTTGAGAACTATTTGTTTTAAAGAAGCAGAGAACCTAGAATCATTTAGGTAATTGACTATAAAGATATAAGTATATAAGGGAGGACAAAAAAACCCCCGAGTTGGAATGTGAGACCATAATAGGTGGAGGAAGAAAGTGTTTGGGTTTGTTCTTCTTAGGAAGGAAGGCTTTTTTTATGGAGAAGGAGCCTCAGATGATAATTTTAGAGTTTAACTCTAATTGTTAAGATCAGTATTTTGGATTTTTTTTTTTACCAAATGCAATATGTAACCTATTGTTTAATTACTCTTGCTTTCAGAGGACTGGAGAATAGCAAACTGAGTTTTTTTTTTTTTAAAAACAGTTCTGAAATAGCTGTTTTCCCCATTGCATAAACTCATTAAAACCTATGGAGATTAGAACAAGGTAATTTAAAACAAACTACTAACTGAGTAAACTTTAGAAGGAGGTGACATGGTTATGTAGGAAAAGCTCATACCTTAGAAATTATAGGTGTATGAGTATGTGGGAAAGAATGATGTGGTCTGTGTATATCGCCTTGTCAGCTGCATTTTGAAAATGTTCGTTGCTAAGGACTCTTCCTGTCATATGATATTCTGATACAATAAAGGTCCTGTTGTGGTTAAATAGCTATTTTGAAAAGGTGATGAACAGATAAAAATAAGTGATGAGTCATCCCCTAATGGCAGAAGGCCTTTGGTGAGGTGCATCACATTTTTTAAAAACTAATCAAGGGAACGGGACTAATAGCCAATTTGTCAAAACAAACTCTCAACAGTTTTCTAAGTCTCGTTGCAGAAGGATCTCATTAGAGTAAGTGGGAAATAAAATCACATATTAGGGCTGGTGTTAGGGTATTGTGTGTAAAGAAAAATCTTAACCAATATATATTTGGTGATGATTTCTTGATTGGTCATTACTACACATAAAGATATTTGAACTACTGTGGACTGTTCTATGAAAATACCAGGTGAATAGTATTTGAAACTGTGGATAGAATGCTTGAAAGCAAATAGAGAACAAATACAAAAGCTTTATCATGCTGCTGTATGAAGCAGTACCATGTTTACATCTAGATGCAGGTAGTTCTCCTTGCCCTAGTATAGAAACAATACAGCAGAATGGAAAAGTAACAAACAAAGGTGTGGGACTAAGATAATCAGGGGTCTGGAACTACTTAAAGAAGAAATGAAATATGCCATTTTCAGAAACAGTAACAAAAGACTCTGGGTGTGTACTATACCTGGTTTCAGTTTTATAAAACAAATAGTAGTTTTTTTTAGCAATGGATCCATGCTTAATTAATGATAGCAGTTGTTAAGTGATGAAAAGGGACTTTGAGTAATTCATTTTAATAGGAATTAGAAAACTAATTTTCTAAAACTGTCTTTGTAAACTGACAGTACTTTAATTTTACACAGACATACAAGAAATTCATGAAAAATACCAGATGAATTTTGTCTTCTGGTGGAAGAACAGGGAAAAGCAGTGTGTACCCCTATAGGCATAAGAGTAATTGCGCTTTTGCTGTTTTGTGACTTTGCAGGCTGAAATGGATGGAACTTTAACCAGGGGAAAAACATTTGCTTAAAATTTACTTATGAGTGTGGTCCAGTTTCCTAGTGGACCTAAGTACTTTGCATTCCTTTGAATGCAATGGAGGTTGCATTCAATGAGTTTCTAAATATCACTTATGTATGTTGCTGATGTAAAACCATCTTTTTGATCACAACATAAATACACTAGGAACTAAAATATGACGGGTGTCTTGTTTTTGGAGTTTAGAGCAGGGGAGAAAAAAACACCCCCACCTTTCTGTGGTGGGCTTAGTGTTTGGTTAGTGATTTATGTGTAAACCTGGGTAATGCAATTCGTACCTAATTTTGTGCTGTACTTGTTGCCATACTGCAGTTTACCACTTATGGAACATAACTTGGGCAGAGAGCCTGTTCCAGAAAATTGTATGCTGATTGCAACAGTCTAGGTATAATTTCTGCAATCTTTTTTTTTTCCTAGAGTACAGGTTAAAAAAAAAAAATGCTGAAGTTGGTGGATTGGGGCGAGTCAAGCCACTTTCTTCAAAATCATATGCTTTTTTCTTTTTCTTTTTTTCCCCTCCCCTCACTCATGTGTGTTTTGTTTTTTTTCCCTTGTTCTGTTTTTTTGCCTGCAGGGATGCCTGCGGTCTGTAATCCAGGTATGGTACCAGTGGCAATACCACCTCCTGCGGTCAACCCTCAGCACCTGTGTAATGAAGAGGACCTGAAATCTATCCAGGACATGTTTCCCAACATGGACAGGGAAGTAATCCGCTCAGTGCTGGAAGCTCAGAGAGGGAACAAGGATGCAGCTATCAACTCCTTGCTTCAAATGGCTGAAGAATCATAGATCCCCACTTCCTGCATAGTCCCCATCCTTGACGCCACTTATTTTTACTTGCCAAGCCAGGGATTTAGCTAGAGGAAGAATTTCCGAACAGCTTTCTGTTAGTGCATCCTGTGTGAAAGATTATACCCCTTTTCTCCTTGGACATTTGGATCTTTTTCACTTTCTTTCTCAGTCTGTACATACTCAGTTTAGCTTATGTCCTACAATATATCATTGAAGCATCTTTACTATCAGCTGTGCCCTGTGTGGCTATATTCTGATGGGGTGGCGAGTAATGCTGCTTTTTTGTCTTTACCCTTTTCATAAACTTGTTCTTACAAAGTAACTCTATGCAGTACAGAATTTACTACTGTTTGTTAGATTGAAAAAAAAAAAAAATTTTTTTCCATGGAGGGTTTGCTCTTTAAGCATAACTGATTTGTTAAACTATTTAGGTTTCATCAAGCAGCCTATTTCTGGCAGAAATTAAAAGGAACCCCCTTTCCTTGTCCTGTAGTATTTAGTCATTGCTGTGATATATTCAACTGTTTCTGATTGAAGATTTTTAATTTAATAAGGTAAATATCTTAGGTTGTTCTGTTGGTATTTGTAATGAGCATCTTCTATTCAATCTAGTCATTGGGCACCAAAGCAATATATTACCTGGCGTGCATTTGGGGCTTTGTCCTCCCATATGGTATTGTTATGTATCTGTAAAATCTTCAGGTAACTTTTAACTTGTACAGTATATATTGCTGTAGCAGAGAACAGGACTGAGCCCTAATGTACTTCCACAGTTAATTGCACTCTAGATACTGCTTCTGCATTCCCATGACTATTTCAAAGAATAAGTGCAGAAGGAAAGATTTTTATACCTGGAAAATTGTTGAAGCCAGAAACAATTATTTAAGGTGTTGTCTTACATTAAAAAAGCAGAAATGTATGATCTGGTTATAAGGCTAGTTTCTTTACACCTATATTTCAGCACAATTATCATATTATATCAGTGGAAAAACTATTGTAGTTTTCCCTTTAATCTGAAATAAGAAGCATGAAAAGTAGCTTCACAATCTTTGAATGGCATTATGAGTTGCTCAGTGACTTGTTAAGACTACGGTTGCTGTAGTCATTTTATTATTATTTGATGCAGATGGAAATAAATTCTTTGTGAGAGAAAATTTAACATATCTGAGTTATAAATTAATCCTTGGAGGAGGTTGGAGGTTGCTTGTATTTATTGTTAGTGTTATTTTTTCAGATAACAGTTCATCTTGGAGCTGCAGAATCTTACAGTATGCACCAGTTACATCTGTTGGATAAATTTCTGCGGTATCTGTTTTTGTAGCTGGTAAAGTAATGCACTTTAAATAGTATGCACCAGTTTATTTTTCCAGTGATGTGCAATGTTGCTGTTTTATCTTTTTAATGTTATTTTAAAGTATTTTAAATCAAAATACTTTCTACAATAGCCATAGACCTTTATATTTTCAAGAGTTGGAATGAATGTACACTTGAAATCTAGGCTCTTGAGTGATTCATGAGAACATTAAAGCCAGGTTTGGAATAGGGAAAGGGACCTGTATTCTCTTCTTCCCCACACTGTTTCATGCCCTATGCTTAAAATATTTTTGTTAATATCTGCTGAAAAGCTGATTTTACTATTTTTTTCCACCCACCACCTACGTTCAAGAAGCCTTTTGGTAGCACTGGCAGTAGAGCATGAATATTTTTTTTATAGCTAAAAGTGATATTGAAACTTTTAAAATACAGCACCAAAAATCCCAGTTTCTGACCTTTGAAAGCTGTCTTTTCATAATGTATGATTCTAAGTTTTGTTATGAATCCCTTATCTTAAATTTACCATTGAAAGCATGTGTCTTTATATATACTCCAATTGGCTTTTCAATAATGAGATTCAAGGCTATAGTTTCTGTGTGCTTTTGTTGTAGAGTCACCACACTTGTGTTTTCTAAAATAAAACGGTTGTTCATCAAGAAACTGATCTTGCCCCTTCCCTACAATCATGGTAAATTTTGTGATTGAGTAGGTGTAGAGGCATTTGGTCTTTATAGCATAGTGATTTGTGATATCGTTACCCGAAAGGCTAAATCTTGGTAAGGATTTAATGCTTAGATACCTACAGGAAGAGTCCCTTGCTCTAACTTTTACACAGATAGCATGAATTGCTAGGGATGGAACAATTCAGGGAAAATGTATATATGTAAATTTTTATATTAAAACGTTGGGATCCGTAATACAGCTTTTTATAAAAGCAAATGGTCATGGTTCAACTTAACGGCTGGTAAATTGTACTGCATCCTATCACAGCTCAATTTCAAGCACAGAATAAACGCCTTTCAATCCTAATCACCAGGAGGGGTAAGTGCGAATGGTTAGTTTAGCCAGGTTTATTCATGAACAAGGCTCTGGGCCTCTGAGGGAGGCTCCTGTTCTTAGAATTTTTTTTCTTGTTTTGTTCCAGGTAAATATTATGCAAAACAGGGTAGATGTATGAGATGTATGATGGGATATGTAGGACCAGTATGGCCAGTAGATGGATTTCAGCATATTACAGTATACTTAAATATTGTTCTGGGGATTTTTTGTCTTGATTTAATTAAGCATTATAGCTGAAACTCTGATGTCAAGATGTGCTACTTTATCTTCTTAAAAAGAACAAAACACTGATCATAAGCCTACTCAGCTTTTCAGCATACATATCCTCTCAGTCAAACTGTTCATTGTCAGGTTTGAATTGGAGAGATGAAAAAAAGCAGGGAGTGTTTAGTTATTCTATGGTCTGTGAAATTAAGATATTGGAACTGAAAGTCTGTTTCTTGATTTAAAACAAATAAATTGTCACTCATGATTGTAACTTTTGACAAAATGCTAATGGGATAATACTGTGTTTGATGCTGCTCTTCTGCTCAACAGCTTCAATCAGCTTGGAGCCAAAGCCAGCTGTATTAAGACTGGCATCTGCTAAAAATTAGTGCTCTTAGTAGTTTGGGTCCTGCCAAGAGCCTAAACTTGCTGAAAGTAGGAACATTTTTTGTCTAGCTAGATCCTTGCTACTTTCTTCTCTACTGCTCTTTGCATCTGCTGATGGTACTGAATGTTTTTTCCCTTACAAATGTTATTGCTTGTTTGATTGATATGTAATACCATACAGAGGATGTTTTTTGCTGTAATAATTCTGAAGACATTGTTTCTCTGTATTGAGGTCCAGTGTCCAAACATGTTTCTTGCACTCTAAAGTACATTAACTTTTTCATTCTAATTTAATAAACGTATCATCTAAATGAAAGTGTACCATGTCTCTGTTGGAGAACACTACAATTGAGTCTTTGTCTATAGACTTATCTAGAATTCAAGTATTAGTTACTGTCTTTTATTAAGTCTTGCGCATTAGTTAGCAAGTTATGCTGGTTCTTAATGTGATCATCTGGTGGGACTGGTACAGCAAATGCTCAAAAGTATTTTAAGCATTCATCTCTAGGTAGATGCCTTTTTCTAGCTCTCCTAGATAATACTTCCTCAAGAAAGTGTTACAGTATTGCGGGTCTAGAGGACAGAGTGAGGCAGTAGTGAGATTGCATTGTTTGAAGGACAATTGTTGGAGGGCAAGGAAGGATGGAAGAACAGAGTGTGGGTATGGAGGAGATGCTCTGCAGTATGAAGGGACTGAGAAGTGTTTAGATGAGAGTGTGTCCAAAAGAAGTTACGAAATAGACTTTGTTATGTGCTATTTTAGCTGCAATAAGAGTTGGCTTTATCTGTTAATATATAATTAATGAATTTTAAAGATTTAGTTTACATAGCATCTCTTTAATTCTATGATTAACTGCAAAGCTATCTGAGGTCCTCTTTCTCGTTTAACAGCATTGCTGTCTATGCTTAGTGATTATTAATCAACTGCTAGTCTGTAGTATTAGCGCAATATCAAGCTAACATCTTGGGTTTTACTGTCCAGTTTGGAAGTGAGTTTTTTTTTATCAAGAGTTAATTTTTTTAGCAAATGATAGTTGAGAGGAGTCTTTCATAACTGAATTTCCTTTGATTTATTTCCTTAATGTACTTTGTACCTCCTATGAAAAGAAATTGTGTTCAAATTGTGGTTTCTGATAGCCCTTGAGTGTCAGTTTCTATCCCAATTTGTGTTCTAAAGCTTACAACTTTTTTCACATTTCTCCAGTGCACTGAGAGAGAAGAAAAGTGAGAATTACTTAAACAAATGTCAGTGTTCTTGTGGCTGCTAAAGAATCTGTTTAGCATTTTAATATTTATTTGCTTTTTAATTTCAATGCTAATCAACCACTGATGATATGTGAGGGTCTAAATAGAAATCAGTGTATTTTGAATTATTAAAACATTAAGTACATCAAGTAAGAGCAGGGCCCCTAGGAAGAAATGCAAATATGTATTTTCTTAGAATGAATGAAAACCCATATTAACAGTTTTCTCTGCAGTTTTAAGCTGTAGCCTACTGAAGACATCAGCCTTCTCTCCTAGATCTTCAGGAAGCTTGTTTAAAAACTCAAGTTGATCTATTTTCATACTACAGTATGTTTTAGAAGGATTTTCTTTACTATCTTGCCAAAAAGTATAATTAATTTTGTAAGAACAAACGGTCTATACTTATGGTATACCACAGCTTTTTAAGTAAAATTTACATGTAGATGGAAAAAGTGACTTTGTGGAAAGCAAGTAGATTGAAATTAATCTTAGCTATGTCTGTGTTCTCATGTGTGGGAGAACTATGAAAGTACTGCTGTTTGGAGTATTCAGAGAATTAACTTAGAACATGTTTTTAAAACATTAGATGTACTAATCTGGAATATGAAGCAGACTGGATACAAATGGACAACCTTTATAATTTTGATGCATTTATCATTCAAGAGAATAAAGGGCGATTCAATTTGCTTTAAAATGATCTCCAATTATAAAATAACTACAGTAAGTGAAAAAGTGCGCTGAATTTACCTTCCATGTCTGTGCTGTCCCTGTTTCTTTATGGATTAGGTTCAGGAGCTCGGCACTTTGTCACGGGACAATGTTTTTCCACCTTAAATGCATAATTTCTGTAATAGTAATCATCTTAAAGTGGAACATTCAAGTTGATTTGGAATGCTTAATGCTATTTTAAAAATGAACCACTAAGTAATTATAAAAGTGAACATAGTGGAGGGGAATGGCAACAAGTTCCTGCCCGATGCAGCAGGCAAATCTCCTCCTTGGCTACCTCAGCTTCCCAGGTGCCCTTGTGTAACAGGTACAAGGCTCTGCAAGTGAAACCAAACAATGACAA